CTCTGTGGGGGCCAAAGACTCGCCCCCAATAGTCAGTGATGGAGTCAACTGACTATATCGGGATGCCGGGAACCACAGCCACTCAGTCTTGGAAGGGTTGAGCCTGAGCCTGTTCCTCCCCATCCAGATCCATACAGCCTCCAGGCACTGGGACATCACTTCAAGGGCATCATTGGGGTGGCCTGGGGTGGAGATGTACAGCTGAGTATCATCAGCGTACTGATGGTATCTCACCCCAAAGCCACGGATGATCTCGCCCAGCGGCTTCACATAAATGTTGAACAGGAGGGGCGAGAGGACCGACCCCTGAGGCACTCCACATATAAGAGGCCTCGAGGTCGACCTCTGCCCCCCTGTCAACACGAACTGCGACCGGTCGGAGAGAAAGGAGGAGAACCACCGTAACACGGTGCCCCCCATCCCCAACTCTTCCAACCGGTGCAGCATGATACCATGGTCGATGGTATCAAAAGCCGCTGATGGTGGTCTGTTTTGCTCTTTGTCAGACTATAGCTGAAAAGGCTCCAAACAGCAGCAGAATTCACAAAAAGTCAGACAATGATCTAAAGATACGATCAACAGCTGGAATTTGGTACCAGGCTGCTAGTGCATTGCTAGTGTATTTTTTTTTTTAAATATAAATGATGCTGCACTTAAATGGTTAGGTGGCCTAGATATTGGTATTTGAACATAGATCTTTTCAACATTTGTATTTTATTGTGTTTTACTAATCTAGGTGAAATGTTAATATATATTACTAGTCCATGTATGATATGCCATATGCTAAATAAATAAATGCATTTGTTCCACAAAGGCCACATCAAATTCTGGCAGGCACTGTCTATCCCAGTTTCTGATACTGCATTAAAAACTCATCTTACTGCAGTATTTGCTATCTCAGCTAAAACATACACCAAATGTAAAGGAATTTAATTCTACAAAAGTAGCACTGGGAAAGATCAGGTTAGGAACATAAAAAGTTCTCTTAAATTCTACATTGGATCTCCATTCCCTGAAAGGTTGCAAAGCATTTGAAATTACAACAGCATCCAGATAATTTTTAAAGGTTGCTCTCTATCCACCACTTTCCTCTGACAGACTCAACTTTTGTTTGCCTTTTAAAATCTACTTTGCTTCTTTGTAAAACTGAGCCGTGGTGGCGCGGCAGACTAAAGTGCTGTTAAGTAGCACCGGCTGCCTGCAATTACTGCAAGTTCAAATCTCACCAGACTCAAAGGTTGACTCAGCCTTCCATCCTTCCGAGGTAGGTAAAATGAGGACCTGGATTGTGGGGGCAATAAGATGACTTTGTATAAAAAAGAACACTGCTTGGGGGTGGGGGGGCAAAGCCCTACTAAGCAGGTATATACAAAAGTATGAAGGCTATTGCTTAACGCATTGTAAGCCGCCCTGAGTCTCCGGAAAAGGGCGGCATATAAATTGAACCAATAAATAAATAAATAAATAAATAAATAAATAAATAAATAAATATAAATAAATAAATAAATAAATAAATAAATAAAAATATAGAACTACATCAGACCTGGGCTGCAAAATTTCAGATAAACACTATATTTCTTTTTTAAAAAATAAGGTCTGGCAGTTACAGCCATCAGATTTGTACTGCAGAAGTCCAAGGACGTGCAGAAAATGCTCTTTCCTAGGTCAGTGTTTCTCAACTTTAGGAATTTTTAAGATGCATGGACTCCAACTCCCAGGCTTCTGACTGCGGAATTTTGGGAGCTGAAGTCTGCACATATTAAAGTTCCTGGGGGGTGAGAAACACTGACTTAGGTGATGGCAAAGAGCATTTTCTGCATGTCTTTGGACTTTTGTAGTACAAATCTGATGGCTGTAGCCTCCAGAAGCATATTTAAAAAAAGACTATTGCCAATGTATTACCATGGGATATGCTAGTAAAATACCAAAAATACACACCCTGTGTGTGTGTGTGTGTGTGTGTGTGTGTGTAGAAGAACTCCTGTTTTGACTCTGTGTTCTTTTTTTAAAATACTGTTTATTTAACAGTTTTGTCTTTAAAAACAACATAAAAAACAACCACAAATACGTAAAAACAAAACAAAACATAACAAACAATACATACCGTCTAAGGTGATTTTACAGCATTTACAGTGTTCATTAACAACTGGGTATGGTGATGCAGTGGTTAGAATGCAGTATTGCAAGCTAACTCTGCCCACATCCTTGAGTTCAATCCTGTTGGGGTCAAGGTTGACTCAGCCTTTCTTCTGAAGTCAGTAAAATGAGGACCAGTTTGGGGACAAAATGCTGACATTGTAAATCACTCCGAAAGTGTTATAAAACACTATGGAATAGTATATAAGTTTAAGTGCTATTGCTATTGCTATATTTTCCCTCAGATATGTGGGAAAAACAGGCTGAAGGAGGAAGAGGAAAACCGAGAAAAACATAACCAAGGAATATCCATTTATTCCGAACAAGTTTAAATCTTCAAGGCATAATGTCTCACATTCTTTCTGTAAGTAATACACATCCCCTGGTTATCAGGGAGCTTTTTATTGTCACTAAATACAGGCAACATTCAAAGATGATCTACAAGTTGTGAACTTTTTTTCCATTTTTATACATAGCTTATTTGATTTGAGAGTTGCTCTTGGGAATTGCCCTTAAAGCAACAGCAACATATTATAGAGGGAATTTGCACATGGCCTGGCAGAAGCTGTATGTACTATCTTAAGAAATATCAGAAAACTGGTAAGATGCCAGACAACAGGAAGACAGTGGATGTTGTCTCTCTCTCTCTCTGCAACAAGGTAGGGAAAGCATGAAGATCATTATACATGGAATTCCTTTACCAGCAATAAATAGCCATAGGAGACATTTTCTTTCTTGCTTTTCTAGTGTAATTATGAATTGTGTGGCCTCCTATGAATGTGTGCATGCTTCTGCTTTTTCCCTCAGTTGTTTGTGTGCTTACCCATATTTGTGCACAAAAAAGCACATGCAGGCTGCAAATGGCAGGAGGAGAAAAGCATTTGGCACCATTCCAATTCACTGCCCAAGAGCCTTTGACATAAGGCTGAACTGATGATGGATTTGCTGGAGTGTTCTTCTCTGTAGTTCCTGGCTGGACTAACCCATTTACAAACTCATTTTTTCTTTCTCTGACATTTTCTGCTGTGCCTGCCATAATTGATTCCATTCTGATTTGTGTTCAGAGAGTTTTCTTGCTCGTACACAGATAGACATATATACAGAAAAAGTTGGTTGGGAAAAATAAAAGTGGGGCGGGAGTGAGTGATTTCAATATGGGTAAAGATGCTATAGCAGATGTTACAAAGATTGCTCTGTAAGCATCTTGAAAACAATGTAGTAATTATCTGAAAGTCAGTATAGTTTTGTCAAGGGCAAGTGTTATCAAACTAACATTATCTTTTTAAAATAAATTCTGGTATTGCTGAAGATGTAACATGTTGATTTTTGCAATGTGTTCAACAGTATATCATATGACATAATGATTAATAAGTTACTTAGGTGTAGGCTGAATGAAGTGAAATTAAGCAGATATGTAGCTGCCTTAGAATCATACTCAATGAATGATCATCAGTGGTTCCTCATCACACTGGAATAAGGTGCTGAGTGGGGTGCCATAAGTTTCAATCCTTGTGCTGTTCAACAAATTTGTTAATAAATTGGATGAAGTGGTGGAGAGAATGCTTATTTGTAGGTGATGCAAAATTGGTAGATATGTAATATTCTGGAAAGCAAGACTCAAAATGTGAAATCTTCAGAGAAAGGCGGCATATAAGTTGAACAAATAAATAAATAAACTTCATAGCTTGGAGAGATGGGCTTAAATTGAATGAAATTTGAGAGAGAAATTCCTACTTTTAATTTAAGAAGCAGAAATCAGATGCACAAGTATACAATGTGAGGAGGCTGACTTGGCAGCAATTATCTTGAAAAAGAGATTGAAATAGTAGTTTAATAAATAAATTTGAGTCAGTAATATGATGTGGTCACAAAAGCAATTTTAGGCTCTTATCAACTGAAGGAGAGTTTCCAAATCACAGGAAGTAATCATTCTGTACTGACCAGATTCCACAACTATTGCATCCAGTTCATCCATATGTAAGAAAGGGGCAGACAAACTGAAACAAGTTCAGAGGAAGCAAATAAGAATATCAAACAAAACATCTATGACAAGAGTTTGAATGAATTGGAGGAAAGTGGAGGAGAACTATGATAGCACTCCTCAAATATTTGAAGGGATATAATATGGAAGGTCAAGATGTGTTCTTCATCATTCCAGAATATAAGACATGGAATAAAGATTTTAAGTGATAGGAAAGGATATGGTGATTGAATGTAAAACATTTCTAACAGCAGAATCAGAGGAGCCAATAATCTGGAGAGTTGGTATCTTCCATTCCTTGGATGTGTTCCAGTATTTGTCAGGGATGCTTTAATTTGGATCCCTGCAATGGAGGGCACTAGAGTTGTTGGCCAAAATGGACATTTCCAGTTTCCTGATCTCAAGAGTTCCATTTCACACCAAAATAGAACAAAGCTTGAATGCTGACTTTGTCAACACTGGAATTTTTAAAGCACAAGTGTGTCCACTGAAAATCATACTTTTGTTCATTACCAGCAGAAAAGAATTAGAGAGAATCACAGGGAAAAATATACCTTTAAATACCTTTAGATTGGTTATCTCTGCCAAGAATTTCCCCCCCTTCTCCATATATTACTTATATTACCTCCATATATTACTTCACATATTGAGAGGAACATTCTAATAAATATTAGGGTTTTAAAAAAAGTTCAAAAGACCAGGTTTCCTAATTCAAATAAAACATTAGTCAATATTTTCTATAGCTCATGTTAACAGATTAAACCATAATTTACTTAGATACTTTGATAAACTTAAAAAATATATAAGACTTGCTGAATTACTGAAGTATATAAATTAATTACACAGCCTTGTAGAAATAAGACAGGCAATATAATGTAGTTACCATGCTGATCTTTCAGTCCAGGTGGGCGGGGACTGCTCTTTCCATTCACTTGAAAACCTATGAAATTGTGAAAAGAATATGAACAATTTGGATAGACAGAAATATGAATACTCTAATATGCTAACTTGGAAAGTTGTAGAAGATTTGGTAGCACAAAACTCAAAAACACCAGGCTGGAGAACCAATTGTAGTTCTTTGCTATTAGACCCTCTACAGTCACTCTCCCCACTATAATAACAGATGTTGAGCAGTGTTTGGGACAAAAACATATAGTTTTTCATGAGTATGCATATCAAGGAGTTGATCATGTAATCACTATTTGTGTCATAGCTTTGCAAAATTTTCATCTGAAATGCGCCTATTGTTTTACTTAGATTGCAGTTAATTTTTTTGCTATTTTTCTTTCCTTCTCAATCTATCCACCTCTTTTTTTAAATTATCAAGTATTACAATAGGAAAGCATTGAAAAATTGATTGGATATAAATGGGATGTGATTGGAATGTCCAATTGGCCAAAATTAGAAAATCACAGTTAATCGTAAATCTCCTCTTACAATAAATAACATTATTGTGGAGATGGGGGGAATCTGGGACATTAATCTCTCTCATGATTAGATATTGGATACAACTTCTGAAAAACTGATCATGAATTTAAGTATCATTTACTATAGGTGAAAGCAGATTTCACCTACATGGAAAATTTACAGTAATGCTTAGGCATCATAATATCCATTTTGTATCATTCTTCCATTGAGCTGAGAGTTTTAATGAAAATATTTACTGTTGACTATATCTGTAATTAATTCTTCCACCCCATAAAAAGTATCTAACAGTATTGCTTGAACAAGGATTTTTGGTAGTGTCCATTTAAGATTTGTCAAGTAAAAGGCACTTCTTATTCAACTCAATATTTTCTTTTTATTTTCCTTTTATTGAAGTAACTTATTTATTCAATTAGGGATCTGTATGTTGCAGTATTTAATCAGTCTTGGCTGATCTTTATGAAGAAAGCAGGGTCAGATTTGGCTAATGTTTACGATGAGGGACCTTAAGGAATTCTCAAGGTTGCATACTAGTCTGGAAAAGTATATATATATAAAAAATTCAGAAGAAGGAAACAGTAAATTACTTCTTAAAACAAACAGCTTTAACCAACCCTCAACTTTCATGGACCCATCTAAATAGTTACCAAGAGTCAAATTTACTTAAGGGAAACATTGTAATATTTTCTTACTATGAAGAACATGCTCATATCTCATAGAATTGATTTCTTAATGAGAAGGAGGAGGACAGCCCTAATAATCTATTTGCAAATTAGTTTGAGGCTAATTTGTTTCTTTAATTGGGAAACATAGGCTATCTATAAATCTTTAGAACCAGATTTTTTTTATAGGGAGAAATTGCTCAGAATTAGCTCCTTTTCTGTGCTGTACTGTACTGTTAATTTATATAGTGCTCTCAATTACTGAAAGCATTTTATGTACATTATTTCTTGTCAGCTTTACGACTGATCTATAAAGTAAGTCATTATTGTCCTAATATTACAGAAAGGAGAATTCAGGCTGAAAGGGAGTAGTTGGCTAAAACCAGCTAGTGATTTCTTAGCAATATGCAGATATAAAATAGGGATTTTCTGATGCAAGCACTGTGTAATGCCAGATGTCTAATATAGTATGATTTAATCTAATCTCTCTCTCTCTTTTTAAAGCAGCCTGTTTTTATAAAACCACATACCTTTCTCAGAGGAGATCTTCTTGAATAGCTGTGGAGTAGAATTACTACTATGAACTTCTACTGTCACCTGGGTTCCTAAAATAAATAATAATTTTGTAGTCATTGAGTTTTTGGAAAAGACACTTCAGATTGCACAGCATACACATGTTTTATCCCTTAGATACAGAATGTGAAAATATATACAGAAAAGGCAGTTGCATTGGCAGTTTTCCCAATGCAACTTTTTAGGTGACCTCCAAACTGAGGTCATTTAAATACAGGAAAGGGTGGGGATACAAGTCTGGCAACTTTTGTGAAAGAGCAGACTTGGGAAAAACTAGGCAGCAGCACACTTGTGTGAGTAAATTTCTGTTCAATCAGACAACTTCTATCCAAGATTTAATAATTCCCTTCTTCCACCTCACTTTGTCATCACACATTCCAGCCTTTGAACAATAAAGACAATGGTGGAGGGGGGAAGATGAAAGCCTTCTGTAGTGAGTAAATTTCCACAGTACCAATAAAGGAGCATATTTGTAGCTCAGGGTTGAAGTGGGAGGTCCTTGGTGCTCTCTGAGCTTGGTTGTTTACTTACAGACATTTCATTATCCAAACTGGGTAATATCATCAGAGAGCATCAAAGCATCAAAATCCCTTGGATTTTCACAGTAGATGCAACCTGTACAGACAGACACACATACATGCATAAGCCAGAAAAATAGCTCTGGCTCACATGTTCATTTTACAAGATCATCAACTTTTTGTTCAACTATTTAAAGTTCCTTCAGATTCTGTTTGTTTTCTATTATTTCCATTACTGTTCATTTGTTTGATATTAAAAGACATAGAATTACTTTTCAGGAACTGATTTCTTATATAAGTATGCCACCTTCTTGTTTTCAAGAAAAGTTATATTAGGGTTATGGGGATGGATCAATCTCAGTCGAGCTCAATATTTTTTTCAGAATAGAGATGCAAAGGATAAAATGCTGGCAAGAAGTAAAGACGTGTTATGACAGCCGTCTCTTCTTGCTTTTGATATTTCCTCATCAAACAGGGAAATTTAGCTGAGAGCCTCTGGGCATTTACTGATGTATTTTAGGATTTCTTGTAGCCCCTTTGCAAACAATGAAACCAAGTAATTGCTCTGTCAGTCCTTCCTTCTCTTTTGAAGAAGGAAAGGGTATTCCCCTCCCCCACTTCTTTCTATTACAGGTGAATCCTTTCTCTTTGAGATATAGCTTAATTATGCTTATTAGATTTGTTTCCTGGGCAAAAAGGTTGCTGAAAAAGTGGGAGGCGATTAGGATAGCAGGGAACAAAGGATAGAGTGCCTGAAGGTTCATAAATTGGAAAGGAGAATAAAGGTCAGTTGTCAATTCTGGCCACAGTAAGTAGGCTTTTACTGTATACTCATCCTGTCATACATAGAGTTTTATATAAGGTACAGACGTTCCTATTTTCCATTTGTACATCTTTCCAGAAAAGAAACAAGATTATAGATATGTAATAGTTTCAACTTATTCCATTTGGAAGGATATGACATCTTAAAAATTATAGTAAATTGCAGGCAGTACTACCAAGACTGATCTTTGGTTCATTGACCTCAATAAAGTTTATATCAAATGCAGGCAAACTTTTTGGTTACACGGTGTGCAATATCTTTGTCCCTCTTTTCTTTGCAAACAGGATTAGGAGTTTTTTAGAGTCAAAATGCAAAAATGCTTCTTATCTACTCCAAATGTAGGAAAATGCATTCTATTGTTGGAACAATAAAAGCCCCTACGACACACACACACACACCCCTTAATGAGGTCACACATCAACCACCTGTCTTCTATCAGCAACCTCAAATAAAGATATAGATAAACTGCTTAAGCTTTTCTGCTGGCATTTGACACTTGGGCTGCAATTGATTAAATGACTTTCTCCAGGAAATCAGCTGGCACTGACAAGCAAATATAAAATGTAACCCTTTCAAGATAAGAAGAAATCACAATACTTCACTTTGAGACCAGACCCCTAATAAAATTCCACATCAAGGAAGAGATTTACCACACCCACACCACAAAACAAGGAATGGATCCTCCTCTCCTGGACTTCACATGGATTTCACATGTGCCCAGGGCAGAAACACCTCATTTTACATATCTAAGATACTTCACATCAAAGTCCAATACTATTCAAATAAAGCCCTTTGTTACTATAAGTACTGCCATCCTTAGCTTCCTAACTTGTAGCCTACCTTCGACAGCTGATATTTTTTTGCTGTTTTTGCTACCACATAAAATTTATTTCTTCTTCAACCAGGCATCATCTGTCCATTTACTCAGCCACAAAATAGACCAGAATTTTCTTCTAAAACTGTGCCTTGAGCAATTTTTAAAGGCATTCTGCTGGTGCACACACAAACACACACACACACAGAGACACACACATTCCAAAATGCCAAAAAGGTGAAAGATGGTCCTGCTCACTCTAATGCAGATACAGCAATCTACAATTTATTAAAGTTCTTTATCAATGGGATATTTTTAAGGGACATAATTACCACAGACCATCAATGGAGAAAGCCTTCATCAAAATATGGTTCAATGTTTGAGAAGTGGGATCCGTAAATTTCCTACAACTAGCAGAACTGATAAATTAAGTAATTATTGTAATAATAATGTCAATATTTTGAGTTCTCTTATTCTCCTTTTCACTAAGTCATTGATTTCAATGAAAATAAAGAAAATCAGGGTGCTTCAATTAGCATTCTGCCTCAAGACCTCTTTAAATGTTAATAAGGCTTGCCCCAATTGGGCATTCTTTGGATATGCAGTTCCTGGCTTTCCCAGTCAGCTTATCACAAAGATCCTAATTTTTTATATATTCAAAATCTGGGAATTCTGGGCAATGCAGGTATCAATTTCTATGGCTGGTTAGAGCTTTCCAAGATTCCCACCATAAGCTTGTCCAGCTCTTTTGAAGATCTTGGAGATGGAACCCAGTATTGTTTAAAAGCATGTCTCACTGAGCTACAACTCTTCAATTTTCATGAAGCTACATTTTCTACAGGCATCTGGTAAATCAGAGATGGAGACTGAATGCTGGATTAAATGAGTCTTTGGTCTCATCAAAATAGATAATTCTCCCATTTGCATGAAAATAAGATTCATAGCTGATACGAGCTGGTATAAAAAAATTTTTCTAACAGAAAATCAGTTCCAGGTTGACTTGCTTTGGTTACTTCAATAATTCAGGTCTAAAGGAATCCTTTTAATGTTTTACCCATTAGGAACATATTAATTTAAGATTTTCTTTCAAGCCGTTGATTCATGTTGACCTGAAAACGTACATGTTCAAAGGTGAACTAGAATCTATCGGTCCTGATCTTTCCAGCAAACTTTCAAGGGGAAGGTCTGCTTGTTGTGCTTGAATGCCAATACAATCTTGCATTATCTTTCTTTGTTAACTTCCTGCTGGATAGAGAAGCTTGGGAACTAATTGAATAAAATCAGGAAGCATAGCCCCCTCTCTTTGACACAAATTTAATTCCACTCCAGGTGGAATATATGAACAGAATTATAATGTCTTTACAGACTTTTTCATTGCTTTCCAAATCTTTTCAAGTGCTTCATAATTTTTATGTTATTCTAGAGAATGAAAATTGCAGAAACATAGGGAACTATCAGCTCATTTGTGACTAGTTTGCTACCTACCTTGAGGCGAGCAGGTTGTAATGACTTGTTGCTTGCGAAAAGCATTCCCTGGAAGAAGAAAAAATATATATTAAGTGACAAAAGTAGTGTGAAATTGGGTGAGTAGAAACAAATAGGATCTAGACCTAACTTTGGTGTATATTGTCGCGTCATAACTATATTCCACATTTAATTAGTACTGAATGTGCTTAATTCTCATTTCTGCTTGTTTCTTTTCTCTGTCTTCCCCTCGCCTGCCCTGCCCTCTCTCTCTTTTTCTATCTTCCTAGATTTTTTTTGTAAAATCTTATTTCTAATTTTGTAAACCTCAAAATTCTGCAATCTTTCCTGGGGACAATAACAAGTTATGATTTCTTAAATAAGAAGTAGCCACTGGTAATAAACAACCACAATAAAAATATGTCATCTCACTTGGCTCTCAAGTTTCAGTTCAATTCAATCATCAAAAGCAATGACCATTACTTTACAAACTCATCTCTAGTTTCTTGTTGCAAATCGTCAAATATTTACCTCATACATTCCACACTTAAAATTCACTGCTCTCCTAGACGTTCCTTTGGGAGACTATTCCAATTCCTTAATCAATTCCTTACTTTTATGTTCTCTTCAGGCTGACTCTCATTCAACTTGCAGGAATCTGCCATTGGAAATTCTTATCTTTATCAAGGCATTCCAACCAGTGGTGGGCTTCTGTGCATGTGTACGTGCATTGCTTCCGTGCATGCATGGCTTCTGCCACACAGCAAGGCAAGGCAAGGCTCGACCGAGCAGCTTTTCGGGGCCTGCTCCCCTCCATCTCTCGTCTCCTGGGCAGTGGTTGTTTCTCTCCGCACTGCTGGGAGAGCCTCTTGTGCAATTTAGCAGCTGTGAGCCACCACTTTCCTCTAAGTCCCATCCGGAAAGCGCTGCGGCTCAGAGAAACAGCATTCAACATGGCATACTGCTTCTCTGTACCCTCTGGATGGGACTTAGAGAAAAGCAGTGGCTTGAAGTGGACTTCCGGTGGCAACACGTCATTGAGAGCAGTTCCTTTCGGAGTGCTAGCCCCGCGATCTGTTAAAGCCGCTAAAACAGCGAAAAACAGCTGTTTAGCGGTTTGAAAGTTTTCCCTTCGGGAAAAGAGGGGAAAAAGAGCAGCCAGGCTTGGGTTGAACTCCCCAAGAGTCCCAGGAACAATTCTGGGGCTCAAAGGGTGAGAGGTCCCTAGAAGCCTGACACAAGCTCCGGACCCGGGACGCTTCTGCATTTAGCAGAACAAGACGCCGCGACCATCCCTGCAACATTTTAATACTATTTTGGATACAAAGCAGGCAGAGCAAAGACAGGAGGAACTCCAATTGCAAGTATTAAACTTTAACTCCTGTGTATTGAATACTTCCTTCTTGATTGCTCTGGAATGGAGAAGATGGATTGACTATATACAAAACAAATACGGGACTAAAAAGTTGCAAATAGCTTATGAATGAAATATTCAGATGATTTCTTTTTTTCCCCCCTTCTACTTTGATATCTTAGTACCTATGGTGGAGTTAAAGAGTAAGGGGAATTTAGGGGGTTTATAGTTAGTTTGCTTATGTTAGATTTGTTTGTTAAATGCAATACCCTGTATTTTGCTCTGAGAAGTTGTGGGGGGAGGGAGAGGGGAAGGGGGGGAAGGGGGGGACTTTGTTTGTAAAACATTTTAAAACTTTTCAATTAAAAAAAAAAGAGAGAAAAGCGGTGGCTCACAGCTGCTAAATTGCACAAGGCACTCTCCCAGCAAGAGTAGCCATGGAGAGAAGCAGCTGCTGACCCGGAGAGCACCTGGAGCATCTCGTGAGCAACCGAGGCTCAGCAAGGGATGGAAGAAGCAGCTGCAAGATCTCTGCTGCAGCACTTTCTGGATGGGACTTCTTACAGTGAAGAAGAACCATCTGGTCAATTCCCAAACCGCTTCGGCCATCCTGAGCCCATGCTTCCCTCCCGTGGCCCTTTGGCTACAGCCTGAATAAATTGCTTTTGCCTGGGGGGCATAGTTTGAGACCAGAGGGGAGTGGTGACATGTAGACAGCGGCCCAGGGCAAGGCTGGAGCGGGGGAATGGTGCATTCTCCGACCTGGCTGAGGCAGGCGGAGGCTCTGGGGCAAGGCTGGAGCCAGAGAATGGTGCATTCCCTGACCCAACTGAGGTGAACAGTGAGTGGGCGGAGGCTCCAAGGTAAGGCCAGAGCTGGGGAATGGCGCATTCCCCGACCCGGTTGAGGCGAGTGGGCAGAGGCTCCAGGGCAAGGCTGGACCTGGGGAATGGCAAATCCCTGGGCCCCGCCACCAAACCAAGGTGAAGGGCGAGCAGGTGGCATGCTTACCTTTGGTGAGCAGAGTGGGCGAGGCACAGAGGTGAGGCACGGAGATTAGCTGGGCTGCACGGTGAAGGCAAGATATATAGGGCAGGGTGGGGTAGGGCATGGTGGGAGGGTGGGGCGAGCCAGCAAGTAAGTGGCTGGGGGCGGGGCCAGCAAGAGGTGGTATTTGCCAGTTCTCTGAGCTACTCAAAATTTCCGCTACCGGTTTGCCTAAACCAGTCTGAACCAGCTAAATAACAACTCTGATTCCAACTGCACTACATCAGTGACTTAGTCCATAGATCTGTAGTGGGTTAGGAAAGCCTTTGCAGATCCTATGGCTCCCAAAATACAAAAAAATGCCTACTGAAGTATATACAAAGTACTTCTAAATATCTCTTGAGCGTTCCTATTTGTGACACCTAGTTTATGTGAAAGTTAAAAAAAACTATCAAGAAATGAGGACAACAAGGTGAATGAAGCTCCCGCAGTTTAAGTTCAAGGAATTCTGTTAACAGAAAGTGCAGAGGGGAATCTTCAGCTTATATCTATACTTTGTAGTAAACATCTATTATTTGTTCCAAATGAATAAGAACTGTGCCTTGTGCCTTCTTGAACTATGCTTTGATGCTATGCTGTAAAAGTGTAATAAGATTCTTCTTTATTCTTAAGCAAACTGGCAACACTTTATTTAATTTGATTCTTCTCAGCTTTTGCTGTGACAAGGTGGTTTGCCAAGGTTTTACATATGACCTTGGAGACTATTATATATATTTATTAATTGATTAGCCTATAGGCCGTATCAACGTACAGGTTCAAACACATATTACCAATAAAATTCTAAACAAACAGCTTAAAACGAGAGTAGGGTAAAATACAATAGTTATAGGATAAAATACAATATTTAATACATAAACATGTAAAATAGAATAAAATGACATAAAATTATATTTCTTTATCACCCCTGAAATCTACCCCAATCAGGCCCACATATGCCAATCTCAGATGGACCATTTTATTCAGAAATTGTGCTGTCATTTTCAGATTCTGACCACACATGAGATATGTTGTTTTAATGTGGGCCTCCCACTGGGCCATGCATTTAATATGTGAATCAAGGTACTTATCTGTCGCCCCCTTTTATAAACAGCTATCAAATAAAATATGAGTCAGATCTTCTATCTCTTCAACTCCACAGATACATGTACCTTCATTGTATGGGATATAATGGAATCTCCCAAATCTAACCATTGTATCAAGCTGGTCAAATATTGTTCAGGTAAATGTCTCCCTGAGATGTTTTGGCAATTGTGATTTTAAATAGTTGTCTATTTGGAAGGTGTGCTCATATTTGCTCAGCCATTTCAGTCTACCAGCCTTACTAAGTGTGGCGTTTTGCACTTCTATATTCATGATTCTTTGGCCAACTCTTTTTTTTTTTTGTTCTCTTATTACATAGGGGGCAGGGAGACTACAGCTCTTTATATAATTTGTCAATTTAGTAATCCAGAGGGTTTGTGATTGCAATTTTATCTGCTCCAGTAGGCATATCTTAGGGAGTCTATCCGTCTCCATTTCATTAATTTTGAGCCAATAGTTGTAAACTCTAATTTTAGACAGTGTGTGAATTGTGTAGATTCCCAGTTCCAGTTTAACTGCTGCAGCAGATGTCTTATGGTCCAGATCCAAAATACATCTTAGGTGCTGACTGTGCTTGCTCTAAAGCTGTAATAGGGTGTAAACCCCAAATTTCAGCTCCAATTAGGAGTGTAGGGATTATTTTACCTTTATATTCTTTGATTAGTGGTACTAGGGAGCCTGGGTAACTGTGATTCTTTAATTTGAGTAATAGATTCAAGTGAGTTTTTGGTCTAAGTGTGCTCCATTGGTGGTTACAAGCCGAAGATCCTTGGAAAAAGTTATACCTAAGTATATGAAGGTGCTAACCTGTTCAATTGGTTCCCCGTCTAGTTGCCATCTATGTTTACTAAACACCATAATTTTTTATTTGGATTTGCTAATAATTAGAGAGTTATCCTGACAGTAGTACTAAATCTCTTTAGTAGCATACACAATCCTACTTGTGAATATGATAGGATCATATCATCAGCATAGAGCAAAGTGTTACAATTTCTATTTAGGATCATTGGCATGTGCATTATAAGGTCTTTTGTTAATCCTGGCAAGACATTGATGTATAAATTAAATAGTAATGGGACTAAAATGCACCCTTGCCTTACCCCTTTGCTTGTGTGAATCCTGTTAGTCAGGGTTCCATTAGCCCCATACCACACTTTCAAACAAGTGTTTGTATATAGGATAGTATTAAGTTCAATATAATCAGATTTGCAAGATTGTTGTCAGTCCCATTGGATACACCCATCAAGAAATCAATTCCCTAGGAAGACTAAAACTACTTTTGCTGAGAATGGCTATACTAATGATAGAACCTTGCAAATCTGATTTGCTGTATCTCCTCCTCTTGGTTTTTGCCTAAGCCACTTCCAAATGTTATCTGGATTTCAAATATTTTTCACCTCTTGTCAGCCAGCCCTCCCCCCCCCCAATTGCTGTCAAGGTCATCTTCTTTACTCTCTAAATTGACAACAGTAGGTAGACCTGAGAACAGGACTGCCCAAAATAGAAGTAAGCTATTACAAATTGGCTGGAAGTAACATTCTTCTTTAATGGTCTGGTTCTGTTAATTTGGAAGGGCAACCACTTCTCA